CTCCACACACACAATGCCTTTCCATTTTCTCAGAGAGACAAGCTGCCCCATTGGTCTGGACTCCCCCATCCACCAACAGCTGTGCTGAGACTGAGTTAGACAGGCTGGAATCTGGGGACAACTGGGAACAGCTGAGAAGCCATCCTGCTGGGAAACATTTTACTCTTTGGCCAAAATGGCTCCAGCACTGAAGTTCAGGGGGGTAGCCCCCCTTCTCCTCCCCTATCATTCTTTACAAAGAAATGTTTTAAAGGAGTTTCTGCATGCAGGGCTGGGGACCAGATCTAGCCCTCCGAAAGCCTTGGTGTGTTCCCCCAGAACCCTCCATTTTTTTTACTGCAATAGAAAAGAAAAATGATTAAATAATTGGAAAATTTTCAGTGTTGTTCATGGTATCATTAATTTAATGTGATTTTAAGTCCAGAAGAAGGCAATGGTGAGTTAGATCCACATTTTTGCCAGGAAAAGAACACGAAGACATTCAGATAATCACCAGGACTTGAGCTCAGGTTATTGGAGGCTTTAAATTTAGGAAAAGTCTCTGAGATGCTGAGAACAAATTCTGGTAATTATCCAGACATCTCCAAGGCCATAAGAGTGGGGACCTTCCTTGCCTCAGAAGCTAAGGGGTTCTAGAGGGGGAGAGCCCTGCAGAGAATGTCTGCTATCGGGCCCCTTCCCATCACACCTCCTAGTACGTGGGGACCCTGAGCAGACGTTCTCTGTCTGTTTGGGTCCAGGAGACATATTTTATCAGGGAAAGTTGAGTTCTTAGATACCCAGGCCCAAGTCATTGAGGGTTTTAAAGTAGCATTGTGACCAGTACCTTGAAATGCACTCAGAAACATATTGGTAGCCAATTAAATTTATATTAACATAAATGAAATATTTTTTTTTATCCTTCCTCTAACTTTTTTGTCCTGGGTCTACCTACTTTTTGGATGGTAGCCCCCGGTAAGCTATCCTAAGAAAGTTGCTCACACCTACCCCAGATGCCCTCTTCTTCACATTTTATACTCTCAACCAGTGAGAAGGTGAGAACAAGGCATGACTAGTCCAAGACAACCACCAACCTTTCCACGAAAAAAGGAATTTGATGCTTGGAGCTGATGCTCTACTTCAGCAGAGATGAGCTAGTCGATGTTCGATGCTTGTTTTACCTTCTCTGTGATCTCAATGATCTCCTTCCTATTCCACTGTCTCCTCTGAAGACCAGGTTCTCTGGGTGCTTCCATCCTTCAGCAATCCAGCCATGATTGTGGATTCAGGAAGGATAGAGACTGCTGTGAGAGATTATGGGCAGGCTGGAAGAGAACAGACAGAAACAATCAAGAAATAGAAAGTGAGTCAGTTGGCAGCTTCTCTTGCAACTCAGCCTGGATTTCTCTGATCTGATTCTCTAATCAATGTAACTGATATGGTTTTGTTTCATTCATCTGATGACTAGGCCTATGATTATGGGAGAAGCCTAAACTCTACAATTAAGATGGAGAGCATTATCTATGCAGTCCCCAGGAGTCAACCTCAATTTGAGAAGACCTGGCTGTCTATCTGTTCCTCCACTGGGTTCTTGGCTGGGTTCTTGGCTCTCTCATTCTTTGGGCTCACACAAAGACCTTCGCAATGGCCCAGATTCTCCACTGTTATGTTTTGCAGAGAGAGATTGTGGGAGGCTGGAAAAGGAATGCAAGGGAGACTGAGCATAAACAGTCAAGAGACAGAAGGGGAACCTGTGGGCACCTTGTCTCGTAAGTGGCAACTCAGCCCAGGTGCAGGAAACAAGGGGAGAAGCATTTCCAGGGGTGTCTGTGGGGTATGGTGAGAAAAGTCAAGATGGAGGCCACGATGGTGTGACTGAAGCTCTGCCTTCAAATCATACTGTAGCAGCTGCCATCTTCACTGTTTTGACTGTATCCTGTGGACACCCTGGAGAGTTTCCCATCATTCAAAGAGATTCTGCCTTAATGAACTCATTATAAGTGAGGGTAGGAAATTCCTCTTATAGTTCTCAAGGTTATGATTTTACCCCCGATAAGCATTAAAAATATGTTCCTGAACTCTGTGCAGCTCTTGCTCCCTCAGTCACCAAGTACAGTAGAGTGAGGTAACTTTCGCCAGAAAGCTTATACAGTATAGGCTGGGTTTGCACAACACACTGAACCGAGGGACTGAACTGTGCTCACCATTGCACCCTATACTAGTGCTGTTATGTGGGCTGCAAAGCTCCAGGTGATCACTAGATGGCAGCAACACAGAGCTGGAGTTTTCTCTCTGACTTTGCTGCCCTCTAGATTTGTGAAGAATAGATATTATGGCTCCGCTACAAATGTTAACCTTCTGGTGGGCTTATTTTGGTGGCTGCTTCCCCCCCCCCGCAAAAAAATCAAAGAGACTTCAGAGAAAGTGTAAACAGGGAAGAAGGAGAACAGACTGCCCCACCAAGATTAGGCTAAGACATTTGACCACCCAACTGGCTTTGAGGCGCGCTTGGCCAGGTCACCTTCCTCCAACACCAGTGCCTTACAGGACTGCCAATTTGCTGAGTTTCATATCTTAATTTGCACATTAGTTCTATGGGTTCCCTAAGAATCCCCATCCTGAGAAGCTACTCATGAATTTGGGTGTCCCATTCCAGAGTGATTACCCCTGGGGAGCAATGTACGACAGCATATTTGCCATTCTTGTGATTTTGCTGGGATCGGTACGGAAGGAAGTTGCGCCTTCCTAAAAAGATGGCTGGTTATATTTTCTGTCTGTAAGCCACCTTTGCAGGGGTCTTTCTCTGAGGATATGCCTGAGGAAAAGCAGCTGCACGATCTCTCCGTCTTTGGCTCTGCATAGTAGATATGGGACTAGGCTAAAGGTAGCTTAACCCACTCGGGCCATTCCTTTCCTTCTTATAGATTCTGGTTGCACTAAGCTGTAAAGTGGTTGTTCAGTTTTGGCTTAAGGTGTTGTAAGAATCCAACCATTGCAGTTAGTAAATGAGGACAGGTAAGGATGTCATGCGAACCCAGCAAATTACTCAATAAACCATGGTTAAGAAAAGCGCATTTAGTGTGATGTATCAACTCTGCTCTGGTCGGGATTGCTGAGCAGAAGTAAAACAAGAGGCACTTTATCCTACTCTTTCAGTACATGCCGTTGCTGGGGAAATGGTGTTGGTTCTTGATATAGTTTTATTGGACCATCACAAATTCCAGATGAATAAAGGGAGATGCCTTTGAACGATGGTGCTGGAGAAAATTGTTGAGCATACCTTGAATTATGAGAAGAACAAATCATTCAAGATTAGATGAAGTAAAACGAGACTTTTTACTGGAAGCACTAAGAATGAAGCTAAAGGTTTAATATTTTGGACACACATAATGTGAAGGCAAAAGTCATTGGAGAAGACTCTGATGCTTGGAAAAGCCGGCCATCAGAAGACAAGGAAGGTGGTTAGACCCTATCACTGGTGACACAAGCAGCAGCTTGCAGGAACTCAAAGATGCAATTATTGGCAATCTGGTGAAATGAAGTCCATCAGGTCACAAGGTGTAATGACTGAACAACCACAACAAAAATATTCAGTGAACAAAGTTGGTGGGAATTTTGCTTAATTCCCTCTAGCTGCCTTAAATCTGCTTAAATACAGTAATTTGGATCAATGCTCCCTTATTCTTTTCAATCTTGTGGGACAGCAGGGGCCTCTGACAGGAGGTAGATTTGGGACAAAAGGTATTACATCATCAATATTTAAGGGTTTCTTAACATGGCCATCTTAGTCATATTGATCCATCACAAGAAAATCCAAAAAACCAAGGGATGAAGAAGATGAAAAAGGTTCAAAAAGAAGATCAGAAGTTACTACCACATAGTATCTTGAGATATTTGAACTGCAGACTTTGTGGGCTGAAACATTTGCCCTAATTTTTTAGATGCCTCCATCCCCTAATTTTTATCACATCTTGCCTCATGAATTCTTTTGGAGCCCTCAAGAGCTTGCAAACCCTTTTTTTTGCCATTCTGGCTGCTCCTAATGAAGGCGTACTTCAGCTGTGGGTTACAGCCCAAGGAGATGACAAGGTGTTAGAGATGGCTTTAGAAACAGATGGGACAGATTCACCCTCATGTGATAATCTTAGTAGGGAGAGCAGGGAATTGCCATTGGGCTTGTTGGCGTCCTCATCGCTCTCCGTAAGAAAAGGGTTTACTGTTGTTGACAGTTGGGCTTCAACCAACGGAGGGTGGTAAAGACATGGATGAGGAGGCAAAACTTTCATCTTTGATCTCCATAAACCGATGTAGGATTTAGAATGCTTAATAGGGCTATACAGGATAAGACTGCCAGGGGATATTAGCTGCCTGGCAAAATGGAACCTACATGAGTAGAAACAACAATGAATATTCAGTG